TGGTGCGACAATCCAGGACACCTGGAGAACCTGGAGTCCATCTGCGCGCTGCTCGTGCGCCGCGTCGCCACCGTCCACATGACCATGGGCACCGTGCGGTCTGATGCCGGCACATACTGGCCCTCGGAGGATCGCACCGTGCACAAACGCCCCGTCCCTCTCTCCAGAGTGAATTTTACCTACGCGCCCAAGCCCAAGCCGCAGGGGGGTGGCAAGATGCCGCCGCGCGCTCGCCGCTTCAGGGCTTGATTGATTCGTGCAAGGCTTCAGTGGGGCATGACTGCGCGTTGGAGGTACATTCTTTGCCTTTGTTCCACAATGGCGTCCGTGACTCTCATTGACCACTCCCTACAACCATAGCACAAGCCCACTCTGTTGCTAGCTTCACTGCCAGCCAAATGTGTGTCACCTGACCTCGACTCACACAACGCTATTCATTGCTAACCAAAACAAATCTTGAATTTCATGCTCGTGATGTAAGCGTTGCTACGATTCCCCCCCGTATAGTGCTCTGTAGTTGCTCCATGCTGCTGCTGGCTTCGATGTGGGCACCAGCGCCTGGCAAAGTCAGTCGCTTGCAGACCACCGGCCAATGCACCTCGCGCCTTTTCACAGTCCTGCTGCATTTTATGGGGCATGCAACCATGGGAAACGATCCTGATCGACAACCATCGCAAGTTGCGTGCTTGTTGGGGGCTGCCTCCACCCCTGGATCTGCACAGTACAGCCACACGCTCTCCTGGAAAACCAGTCCTACAAGGAACCCATTACGAACATCTCGAGAATAAATCCATGCAATTAGTTTCCTTCTAGAAGTTAAGTTTGGGGAGGCCCCAGGCCTGGAGGGGCTGTCGATTGTGGACTTGAAGGCCGTGCCGACGGCGGACGAGGGGAATCCGGAGGCACGTCTACTCTGACGGCAGCGGGACAATAGCCCTGAGCCTTTTCATGTCTTCGAAAGGCCCAATTTACAAGGCTGCTGGTGTAAGGACAGCCTGTGGGCCGCCAATGCGTTTCTGCAACACACTCGGTCAGTGCAGGGCGACTCCCTTGGTCTCCGAAAACGCCTTGCTTTCTGGTTTTAAGCGCACCCGATGCGGACTACAGCCGATTGACGTGTCTTCAGTCTCAATGAACTTGCGCCATGAAGAAATCAGCCTTGCAAGAGTCGCACATCCGACCGGCTGGCACTCAGTGGCGAGGCACAGCAACAGGGGATGCCACGGTCAAGTAATCACGGGCTCTCGCGAAATTGCCAGCGCGAATGGCACTCATAGCCGGCTCCTTCCCACTAGAAACGCTACTCAAGGCACTTATGGGGGCAGTGGTGTCTGTGGCATGCTGCTGTGGGTTTCATACTCGTGCACAGCTGCTGCAAAAGGACGAGCACCCTCAAAGCTCCCAAGCATTACACACATCGATATCGGGGAGTTCTCTTCGATTAAACATCAAGTCGATGTCATGGATTCATCCCAGCATCACGCTGAGAGCGTCACAAGCCTTCAAACGATGGCAATTTGTGCAGAAACGACTCAGTCACAGGACACTCCTTCACCCCTCTACTGTGCAGTGCCACGCTCCATGACTTGCCCGATTCAATGCTCTCAGCACGATCGCCGCTGTTCCAATGCCCGGTGAAATGAGAACAGTCTCGAAATCCAGGCTCCGCGGCGAAATGTGGGGGCCCGGTAACAAGGACCCTGGTCGTAAGAAACGGGGCGCCCCCAACTGTTTTGGGGGCAGGATTCCAGCACGAAAGCCCCAAGCCGCGAAACAGAAACACAAAGTTCAAATATCACCCTGTCCTAAAGTATTCATAGTCATCAGCAGCCCGGCTTCCCCTCAGACCCTCGTCCTTGAGGTCCCCAGTCTTCGTGCACCATGGTCAGTCAGCTGTCGTTTTTGCCTGCTCGCTCCCTGTCTGTATAGCCCTCCCCACACCTATTCCAACCCCCATCGACGTTGCCAATTCCGATACCAAGTCCGCCCCCATCTCCTTCCCACAGCCGCGCGACATTCATCGTCACAGCAACAGCTCGCCCTGGCGCAGCTTTCTGTTCAAATTGGGGTACATCTTCGGGAGCTGCTTCGGGACTGTGCCAACAGTCACCATCGATGCTCATCCCATCCCCGCCAAGAAGATGCCCAAGCGTCCAGAGTCCCCCGTCGCCACAGAGGCCCCAGTGCAGGCCACCATGTCGTCGAACCCCGATTGCCCCTGCGCCCCCAACATGATCCTCGCCATCCACCCCAAGACGGCCCTTGCCATCCACCCCAAGACGGCTCTGAGCACCCGGCGCGCCCTCGAGGACTCCAAGCTGACCATCCCTGTCCTCCTCGAGTACCCCAAGGTGTGTGTCCCTCATGGGGGGTTGGCATCCTTGCATGGCCATCCTTGCTCGCTCTATGGCATCCTGCTCCCTGCCCACCCCCTGCAAGAGCTCTGTCACCACGATGCTCTCCATTCAACCTCCAATGGGCAATCATGCACCTCACTGCCTTCCTCTTGCAGCCTGAGCCCAACCAGCCTGGCTCCCCTGGCCCCTTGCTGGCCTACAAGGCAGGGTATGCCGATGCTCTGGCGAGGAGCTCAACACACATGGCTCCCTGGCTGGCTCATGGGACGACTGTGATGCATCCTTGACCCCCATCTCCGCGGCCTTCTGCGCTGCTGAGCGCAGCCAGGTGGCTGCCTCGCCGACGGCCTGGCCTCCGCCCCAGGACGACCTGGAGTGCACGGGCTGGGAGCACTTCATCCTGACCCCAGAACGCCCGCCCATGGCCAGCGCACAGCAGCAGTGGCATGGCTGGAGCTTCGTCACACCCTACCCACAGCGCCTGGAGCAAGACTCCCCCATGCTAGGCCGGGAATTCGAGGACCTGTGATTGCTGCCCACCACCTGCACATGCGAGGTGCCATTGCAAGGTTGTTATTGAGATGCTGACGCTTTGTTTGTTGCTTACAAATTGAGTCTTCGCTTAACGCATTGTGATGTAGAACAGAATAGGAGGGATTCTGTTTCTGGGTTGGCCTCAATTTGTACAATTTGTAGAGCGGGTCGCATGCTGGAGCCAGAGGTCGAGCCTGTCCTGATCACTCTCTGTATCTTGGGGTCCAGAAGTGTCCTGTCCTTCCTGTCCTGCGTCTCTCTGCCACATGAGGTGCAAGCCAAAGGACGGGGCAAACCCAGGATAGGAGAAGGTGTGACTGCAGGAGTCGTCGGCCGCAATCAAGCACTGACACACAGTCACCATCGATGCTCATCCCATCCCCGCCAAGAAGATGCCCAAGCGTCCAGAGTCCCCCGTCGCCACAGAGGCCCCAGTGCAGGCCACCATGTCGTCGAACCCCGATTGCCCCTGCGCCCCCAACATGATCCTCGCCATCCGCCCCGAGATGCCCCTCGCCATCCACCCCAAGACGGCCCTTGCCATCCACCCCAAGACGGCTCTGAGCACCCGGCGCGCCCTCGAGGACTCCAAGCTGACCATCCCTGTCCTCCTCGAGTACCCCAAGGTGTGTGTCCCTCATGGGGGGTTGGCATCCTTGCATGGCCATCCTTGCTCGCTCTATGGCATCCTGCTCCCTGCCCACCCCCTGCAAGAGCTCTGTCACCACGATGCTCTCCATTCAACCTCCAATGGGCAATCATGCACCTCACTGCCTTCCTCTTGCAGCCTGAGCCCAACCAGCCTGGCTCCCCTGGCCCCTTGCTGGCCTACAAGGCAGGGTATGCCGATGGTCAGGCTGATGTCGAGGCGCAGCGCCCTGATCTGGTCCAGGAAACTCAGCGCCTTGACCAGCTGGAGTATGCCATCAACACCGAGCTGACTGCCCAGATGATCAGGGCTGCGCAGCTGGCCGCATTGCGCGCTGAGGCGGCTGATCGTGCGGCGCAGCTGAAGCGCCTCACCTCCATCCTGGATGCTGCTGCCGGCGGCGCCCCTGGAGCCATGGCTATGAAATTGAACGCCATGCTGCATGCCGAGCAGGAGGCCTGGGCCGCGGCAGAGAAGGAGAGAGCGGGGGAGTACGAGGAGGGAGCTTCTGACGCCAAGCCCCAGGGCCGGCCCACCGCCGTTTTCGAGTGCGAGCTGCCCAGTGACCCCAAGGTGCGAGGGGTGTTGTTTCTTGGGGTGTTTCTTTGGGTGCTTGCATGAGTGCTGCAGACTGTCCACCTGTTGTGCCAGCACTCTCCTTGCTGAGATCGTCCCTTCACTCCTGCAGGCAGCCGAGGTCCATCCATCCCCGACCCTCCCCCGAGGCTCCGAGGAGGTCGTCACCCGCACCCGTGCCGCCTGTCCAGGCAGCACCCACCTGGACGAGGATGCGACAGTGCCCACCGCCTATCTGAGCCACAATGGCACCCCATGCACGACCTACAACATGTACGGTGGGAACCATGGGTGCGCCAACATGTCCCCTCAGCCATGGGTGGCAGAAGGTGGGGACTGGACGGACACCACCCCCGGCGCATGGACGCCGGGGGCCAGCAACGGCTGGACACCTACCAGCAGCTATGCCGGCTGCACACCCCAAGCCTACATGGCAGCAGGTGACCTGGAGACATGGGCGTCAGAGCCAGCTGCATGGCAGTTTCCTACACCCCCTGACCACCACAGCCCTCAGCCCCTTGTCTGGGCTGCTGACCTGGAGGCGCGGCCCAACACCAGTGTAAGCCCTGGAACTGTGCACGAGGGAGGCGCCATCACGGCCTCTGGCGAGGAGCTCAACACACATGGCTCCCTGGCTGGCTCATGGGACGACTGTGATGCATCCTTGACCCCCATCTCCGCGGCCTTCTGCGCTGCTGAGCGCAGCCAGACGGCTGCCTCGCCGACGGCCTGGCCTCCGCCCCAGGACGACCTGGAGTGCACGGGCTGGGAGCACTTCATCCTGACCCCAGAACGCCCGCCCATGGCCAGCGCACAGCAGCAGTGGCATGGCTGGAGCTTCGTCACACCCTACCCACAGCGCCTGGAGCAAGACTCCCCCATGCTAGGCCGGGAATTCGAGGACCTGTGATTGCTGCCCACCACCTGCACATGCGAGGTGCCATTGCAAGGTTGTTATTGAGATGCTGACGCTTTGTTTGTTGCTTACAAATTGAGTCTTCGCTTAACGCATTGTGATGTAGAACAGAATAGGAGGGATTCTGTTTCTGGGTTGGCCTTGTAACTCTCAATTTGTAGAGCGGGTCGCATGCTGGAGCCAGAGGTCGAGCCTGTCCTGATCACTCTCTGTATCTTGGGGTCCAGAAGTCGTGCATCGGTCCTGTCCTGCGTCTCTCTGCCACATGAGGTGCAAGCCAAAGGACGGGGCAAACCCAGGATAGGAGAAGGTGTGACTGCAGGAGTCGTCGGCCGCAATCTAGCACTGACACACCTGACAAACACCGGGAATGATGAAAGCATACCGAAGGACCTCACTTGATCGACAAATGATACCTTTGGTGATGCAGACACTCTCGCGAGCACTGGCGTATTTGTGAGTTGCTTTCTGCGATGTCAACCAGCTTGGCAATGCGGATCCCTCGAGATTCCGGGACTGCTGCGTTCCTCTCACCCGACACGAGGTGCGTGCGACGGGAGATGCTCCCTCACGAGGCGCCATCAACGCAGATAACTCATACATCTTCACTTTTAGTATTCGCGTAATCCCAGGCGATTGAAGGCGATCCATTCTACATCCACGACCCTAAGCAAGGAGACATGATCACCTTTGCAGTGCATCCAACGCGCGCCCATGCCCCGCCCGCGGCCGGATACCACAAACTCAGTGCAAGGCCCCATCACCGTGCTCGCTACGGGCGGCGAGCCCCCTCCTCCCCTCGAGCCGACCTGGTGGTCGACTTCCCCCGCCTGGCCGCCCCAGCACGAGAGTGGATTGCCGCGCACACCCCCGGCTGGGCGGGCGGGTTTGATGGGAACGCCATGAACCGCATCCTCATCAGCGACAGCGCCAGCGCCCTGGCAAAGTCAGTCGCTTGCAGACCACCGGCCAATGCACCTCGCGCCTTTTCACAGTCCTGCTGCATTTTATGGGGCATGCAACCATGGGAAACGATCCTGATCGACAACCATCGCAAGTTGCGTGCTTGTTGGGGGCTGCCTCCACCCCTGGATCTGCACAGTACAGCCACACGCTCTCCTGGAAAACCAGTCCTACAAGGAACCCATTACGAACATCTCGAGAATAAATCCATGCAATTAGTTTCCTTCTAGAAGTTAAGTTTGGGGAGGCCCCAGGCCTGGAGGGGCTGTCGATTGTGGACTTGAAGGCCGTGCCGACGGCGGACGAGGGGAATCCGGAGGCACGTCTACTCTGACGGCAGCGGGACAATAGCCCTGAGCCTTTTCATGTCTTCGAAAGGCCCAATTTACAAGGCTGCTGGTGTAAGGACAGCCTGTGGGCCGCCAATGCGTTTCTGCAACACACTCGGTCAGTGCAGGGCGACTCCCTTGGTCTCCGAAAACGCCTTGCTTTCTGGTTTTAAGCGCACCCGATGCGGACTACAGCCGATTGACGTGTCTTCAGTCTCAATGAACTTGCGCCATGAAGAAATCAGCCTTGCAAGAGTCGCACATCCGACCGGCTGGCACTCAGTGGCGAGGCACAGCAACAGGGGATGCCACGGTCAAGTAATCACGGGCTCTCGCGAAATTGCCAGCGCGAATGGCACTCATAGCCGGCTCCTTCCCACTAGAAACGCTACTCAAGGCACTTATGGGGGCAGTGGTGTCTGTGGCATGCTGCTGTGGGTTTCATACTCGTGCACAGCTGCTGCAAAAGCACGAGCACCCTCAAAGCTCCCCAGCATTACACACATCGATATCGGGGAGTTCTCTTCGATTAAACATCAAGTCGATGTCATGGATTCATCCCAGCATCACGCTGAGAGCGTCACAAGCCTTCAAACGATGGCAATTTGTGCAGAAACGACTCAGTCACAGGACACTCCTTCACCCCTCTACTGTGCAGTGCCACGCTCCATGACTTGCCCGATTCAATGCTCTCAGCACGATCGCCGCTGTTCCAATGCCCGGTGAAATGAGAACAGTCTCGAAATCCAGGCTCCGCGGCGAAATGTGGGGGCCCGGTAACAAGGACCCTGGTCGTAAGAAACGGGGCGCCCCCAACTGTTTTGGGGGCAGGATTCCAGCACGAAAGCCCCAAGCCGCGAAACAGAAACACAAAGTTCAAATATCACCCTGTCCTAAAGTATTCATAGTCATCAGCAGCCCGGCTTCCCCTCAGACCCTCGTCCTTGAGGTCCCCAGTCTTCGTGCACCATGGTCAGTCAGCTGTCGTTTTTGCCTGCTCGCTCCCTGTCTGTATAGCCCTCCCCACACCTATTCCAACCCCCATCGACGTTGCCAATTCCGATACCAAGTCCGCCCCCATCTCCTTCCCACAGCCGCGCGACATTCATCGTCACAGCAACAGCTCGCCCTGGCGCAGCTTTCTGTTCAAATTGGGGTACATCTTCGGGAGCTGCTTCGGGACTGTGCCAACAGTCACCATCGATGCTCATCCCATCCCCGCCAAGAAGATGCCCAAGCGTCCAGAGTCCCCCGTCGCCACAGAGGCCCCAGTGCAGGCCACCATGTCGTCGAACCCCGATTGCCCCTGCGCCCCCAACATGATCCTCGCCATCCACCCCAAGACGGCCCTTGCCATCCACCCCAAGACGGCTCTGAGCACCCGGCGCGCCCTCGAGGACTCCAAGCTGACCATCCCTGTCCTCCTCGAGTACCCCAAGGTGTGTGTCCCTCATGGGGGGTTGGCATCCTTGCATGGCCATCCTTGCTCGCTCTATGGCATCCTGCTCCCTGCCCACCCCCTGCAAGAGCTCTGTCACCACGATGCTCTCCATTCAACCTCCAATGGGCAATCATGCACCTCACTGCCTTCCTCTTGCAGCCTGAGCCCAACCAGCCTGGCTCCCCTGGCCCCTTGCTGGCCTACAAGGCAGGGTATGCCGATGGTCAGGCTGATGTCGAGGCGCAGCGCCCTGATCTGGTCCAGGAAACTCAGCGCCTTGACCAGCTGGAGTATGCCATCAACACCGAGCTGACTGCCCAGATGATCAGGGCTGCGCAGCTGGCCGCATTGCGCGCTGAGGCGGCTGATCGTGCGGCGCAGCTGAAGCGCCTCACCTCCATCCTGGATGCTGCTGCCGGCGGCGCCCCTGGAGCCATGGCTATGAAATTGAACGCCATGCTGCATGCCGAGCAGGAGGCCTGGGCCGCGGCAGAGAAGGAGAGAGCGGGGGAGTACGAGGAGGGAGCTTCTGACGCCAAGCCCCAGGGCCGGCCCACCGCCGTTTTCGAGTGCGAGCTGCCCAGTGACCCCAAGGTGCGAGGGGTGTTGTTTCTTGGGGTGTTTCTTTGGGTGCTTGCATGAGTGCTGCAGACTGTCCACCTGTTGTGTCAGCACTCTCCTTGCCGAAATCGTCCCTTCACTCCTGCAGGCAGCCGAGGTCCATCCATCCCCGACCCTCCCCCCAGGCTCCGAGGAGGTCGTCACCCGCACCCGTGCCGCCTGTCCAGGCAGCACCCACCTGGACGAGGATGCGACAGTGCCCACCGCCTATCTGAGCCACAATGGCACCCCATGCACGACCTACAACATGTACGGTGGGAACCATGGGTGCGCCAACATGTCCCCTCAGCCATGGGTGGCAGAAGGTGGGGACTGGACGGACACCACCCCCGGCGCATGGACGCCGGGGGCCAGCAACGGCTGGACACCTACCAGCAGCT